TCTGGTGGGATTGTTGGCAGCCGTAATGTTGGCCGCGTTGTCGTGGACGCAGGCGATAACTCTGGCTTCAAATCCCCACTGCTCTACAGCTTCATTCATCTTCTCAGCGAGAAGGTCGGCAGTATGCCGGCCTGGAAGGCTTTCAGTGAGCAGGACCGCTGAATTCATTTGCCAGTTGTCGCAAATGTAGTGGCATGTGATAGTGATGTAGCTCTCCGCTGTTAAAGCGGTCCAACAGTCTGTTGTTATAGCAACACTAGCTGCTGTGGCTAACTTGTTTAGGAGCTCCTGTTTTCGCTCCTTGTAGTGGGTTTCTATGACCCTGGTGATAGTGCGCCGTGAGGGAATCTGATACGCTGGTTCAAGTAAACTAACCACATCTCTAAATCCTTTCCCCTCGACGACACTTGTGGGGAAGATGTCCACTTCAATCATTTTGGCGATACTTTCTGTGATTTTCTCCGCCCGCTTCGCATCACAGCTCCTCCGGTTTAAAACTGAGGTGATGGTGGGCTGAACGGAGGATTCAGTGCCTCTTAACACGCTGGGATGAAGGCTCTTTAAGTGGTACATCTTCGGAGTTGTTGTCGTGTTGTACTTGTAAACCGTGTCGCAGTGTATACAGTGAGCGGACTCGTTTTTTATCTCAAAATGGTCCCACACCGGACTTCGTTTCGCGCGCTTCATGTTGTTATCTTTGTGAGTGAGCAGCTCGCAGGAAGTTTTCTCTGCTGTCGCGACTCCTTACGCTATATCTCCCCCTGCTGGTAGGATGTTTTATTACCGATCATCGATAAGAAAAATACGAAATCGACAAAATCCTTAACGATCAATTATCGATCATCGATTAATCATGCCCATCCCTACTAGATACCCATGGTAACTTATGCTGAGCGGCTAACCTGGGGCCTGTACTACGAATCAGGATTTTCGTTTAGCAAGCTAACTTCAGGGATTTCCGGTCCTACGAAACTGCGGGCTAGATAACTTGATAGACATGTTTTGTATATATTTGTATATATCTGAGACCTATGCTATTGCCTAAAAATAGCATGATGGGTGCACTTTAAGAAATAAAAATCAAGATACAAATAAATAAAAATTAACTGTCTTGTAGCAGGTTTGGAACCACATGATTTGTTTTAAATACATACATTTTAATATCCTTAAATCTGTCACAAGAAATAAATCCAAGCATATATGTATTCATTAGTAACACAAATTGTAGCCTTGCTCTTTTATGAATTTGGGCCCCTGCCCCTCTACCTCACACTTATGCAAGATGTCTTCAGATTGGAAATTGATCTTTTTGTCAAGGCAGATTCTGAAGGTAACAGGATGTTGATGATAATTGATCAGCATTCCACTGTGAGTTTGATCAGAGCTCAGCAGTGATGGCAGAGTCTTCGCCTGTGATTGGATATTACCAATGCCATTTGCAGCACTGGGGGGGAGGCAGATACTTCTCTGTGTTACTGTCAGGATATATGGCATGATATATAGTGACAGTCTCAGCCAAATGATTTGTAATAAAGTTACCATCTGCAGCTTTAAATGGAGCAATGCAGATATTATATATTGCAATCAAATTTAAATCCTTCAAAACTCAACTTGAATGCAGATAAAAATGGGAAGCATTTTCCTAAGAGGCCGATCAGCATAGTAAATGTCATCTAAAACTTGGAGTTGTGTACCTTTAATTGTTGATGCCGATGAATAGTTCAATCTATGATAAATATGTTCTATGCAACAGGGTCCAATATGAGGCATTTTATTAAAATGTGATGTACTGTAAGGGAGAAACTGCAACACCTCTGTTCTGATCGTGTCAAACTGAGCATGATTACCATTGTTTTGAAATATCGCAGTACATTTTACTATATGAATACTCTGTAAAAACATTCAAAACCTCATCTGTCAGAGAAGTTTATTCAGCACATTTATAAACAATATCAGAAACTAATGTCCATGGACACCATGAGAAGAAAAATAAAACATTTCAAATAAAAGGGCATGCCAGGGTGGTTGAAAATTATATTTTAAGAACAACCCCCAAATTAAAACATGATGGTTCCATTCTGGATTTCCCATTGACCTCTGTTCCATTAGAACGCCCCTCTGCTGTAGTTATTCAAGTAAACAGCAAACAAAGTACTGGTTACCAAGCAGTTTGGGGATTTGCTTTGAAGAGACCGTAGTCTTCTTTCCTGAAGAAGGCCACTTCTGTTTCATTTGCTGAAACAACAAACAAACATTTTAAAATTCTGATAAAACTATACTTCGTGCAGCAGATCAACTATGTTAAGCCATTACATTATTTTGTTGTATTATTTTTAAAGTTATTTTTCTTCTATTCTAGGAATATACAGCTTATATTCATAGGCCCAACTGTTAGTTTTCCAAAATATATTTTTCCCTACATTTTTAATCTACGAGGACACAAGTATTTTATTATACAATATCATTTGAAATATTGAAAATAAGCTGCTAGTGTTGATCTCAGATCAGCTGCAGGCACTTATTGACTACACAGTGTAGTTATGCTGTCCACCAAACTAGTGGTAGGGATCTATTTAGTTTTAGCTAATGCAGTAAATCTGTAGTTTGTGTTGCTGTGGAATTCTGTTGTATTTCTAGTATGTGTCAACCCAAATTATGTAAAAAATAGTCAAATACATATATTTGAAAAGAATGATAAAATTTGAGATCATTACTGACGTTTAATTTTAGGATCAAGTGGAATAAAGTTCTGTTTTTACTCTTACCAATGCCAGCAGCTCGTAGGGTTTGTTCATTTTGCAGAATGAGCTTTTCATCGTCCTCTAAACTCATCACCAACTCATTAGTCTGCAAGAAAGAAAAATGGACACGTCATCATTCATTCTCATGGTACCAAAGGATACCAATATGCATTTGTGTACAGGGCTCGCCAGTAACGGTTGCCATTGGCAACCATTCAGAAAACATGTCAACCACTTCTTTGCCTTTGGTTGCCATCAGTGGCAACCAGTTTTTAACATAAAGAAATAAGGACAGCAAACAGTTAAATGTGCACCCCAAAATAGATCAAAGTAAATTATTTGTTGTATTAAGAGTAATATTTAATTATTGTTGTGATCAGTCGGAACCATAGACTGTATATATAAATGGACGTAGGGTCCGTGACGTCACCCATAGGATTCTGCAGAGTTGCAGAGAAGCCCTTACGGCCCGTCTACACGGCCCGTGACGTAGAAGATTTTTAATCTTCGCCGAACTGCATTGTGGGGAGCATGGCATGGCTTTGCAAGCATCACGAGCATCTATCGGCATCAAAAGTTGAACAATGTTCAACTTTTGAGGCTCGATGCTTGGCATCAGCCAATCAAATCCCGTTTATGCAAATCCCGCCAGTGCAAGCGCAGCAAATCAAACCGCGTGCAAGCTGGGAGAGCCAGACCATAGTTCATTTCCTCATATTCCAAACGAGATATTACGGTAGCAAATCACCCGGTTCTTTACGACCAGAACTATTTACCGGGATACAAACCGGAGGAACCAGGCATGGAGGGAGGTGGCAGAGACAGTGGGTGAAACTGGTAGGTTTTTCGCCTGTTTGGAGAGTTTATATCCAGTTTACTTCGTTTTAAAGTCCTTATCTTACATTAAAAACTGTTTTTGGCAGTTGATTTCTGGGGGGTGTATGCAACAGATAGTCAATGTATGTTTCTTTATTTCATACTGAATAATATGTAAAAAAAGGAAAAATATTAGGTCCAATAAAAAAAACTTTGCTTCTGGAAGCAGGCCATTTCGTGACGTCACGTGTGGTTCCCGGCTGCCGCTGTCTGGATCCCTGCTGCCGTCCGGATCGACAGCCAATGCGCGCAGCCAGCGAGAGTTCACAACGAGAAATGGCGTCAAATATTGTTGATGTTTACGCATCAGAAAAAGCTAATAGCGCGGGTATTTGGCACAATTTGACAGAACAATTATTTGGTGTGGACGATGCGAGCAGTGA